GGGGGGGGGGGGGCCTGTGTGTGTATACGGATGATGAAGTTGTTGAGTGCTCCGGCCAGGTCCATCTCAGACGAGTACACTTGCGACACTGAACCACACACACACACACACACACACAGAGAGGGAGGTGTGTGTGTGTGTGTGTCAGCTTCATTTGTGTGTGTGTGGCTGGATGTGAGTGTAGCTGAGTGGTTTACTTGTGAAGTGCTCGATGAGCAGGTCGTCGACCGTTGCACACAGCGACACGATCGTCGAATCTGCACACACACACACACACACACGCATAGACCCCACACACACATACGCACTTGGCTGTCTCTGTCCTTTGTTCGTGTGGCCTCAACTCACTAACTCACTGACTGACCTTTGCTCTTGCGCGAGTCGACGCCAATGGCCATCAATGGCTTCCGCCCCTTGACGTTGAGCCCCCACGCAGCGCCGCCCACCTTGCACACGATCTACACACACACACACATGGATGGATGGATGGATGTGTGTGTGCCAGCAGCCTGTTTTTTGACCTGCTGGACGACTTTGGGGGCGGCTGTTTGCCACTTGTTGCTGGCCAGCGTCTTGCTCTGCACGCACTGCGCCACACACGCACACTGGCTGCCCTCGCACGTCAGCAGCTGCTTCAACCCCTGAAGACACACACAGACGCGCACACACAAAGACCCGTCATTTCTCCCTCTCTCTCTCTCTCTCTGTGTGTGTGTGTGCTGTGGTTTGGTTATTACGTTGTAGAGTAGTGTGACGCTTGTTGTCTTCCCTTTGGAGTTGGGGAGGAGGCAGACCACGCACTGAGCTCCGCTGATGGCCTCGACGAGGGTCTGGTGGTCGGGTGTGTTGGGTGTGAGGGCGGCGGTCAGCGACATGTTGATCAGCCACTTGGGCGCCTCCCACTCCATCCCCAGCGCTAAACACACACACACACACACACACACGTGAGATGAGCTTGGTGGGCGTGTGTGTGGACACACACACACTTACCGTGTGCACTATTGGAGATGTCGCGTGCCATTCTCTGGGCTTGAATGGCATCGGCCTTGTCGGCCAGCACAACCCACTTTTCGAGCTTGACGGGCTTGAGGCAGCCCTTGGGGGTGAAGTTGAGCGAGTCGCCGCGCAAAGCAGCGCCACCCTGTGTGTTTGTTGACACATTCACAGAGCGAGAGACACCGATCCATCCATCCATCCATCGATCCATGTGTGTGGCCACTGTGT